TCAGGAACGCGGCAGGGATGTCCACTCTCATCACTGCTATTCAACATAGTATTAGAAGTCCTAGCCACAGCAATCAGACAACAAAAAGAAATCAAAGGCAACCAAATCAGCAAAGAAGAAGTCAAACTCTCACTCTTTGCAGATGATATGATACTGTATGTGGAAAACCCAAAAGACTCCATCCCAAAACTGCTAGAACTCATTCAGGAATTCAGTAAAGTAGCAGGATATAAAATCAATGCACAGAAATCAGTGGCATTCCTACACACCAACAACAAGACAGAAGAGAGACAAATCAAGGAGTCGATCCCATTCACAATTGCACCCAAAACCATTAGATACCTAGGAATAAATTTAACCAAAGAGGCAAAGGATCTGTACTCAGAAAACTATAAAACACTCATGAAAGAAATGAAGAAGACACAAAGAAATGGAAAAACGTTCCATGCTCATGGATTGGAAGAACAAACATTGTGAAGATGTCAATGCTACCTAGAGCAATCTACACATTCAATGCAATCCCCATTAAATGCCATCCACTTTTTTCAAAGAAATGGAACAAAAAATCCTAAAATTTGTATGGAACCAGAAGAGACCCCGAATAGCCAGAGGAATATTGAAAAAGAAAAGCAAAGCTGGCGGCATCACAATTCCGGACTTCCAGCTCTATTATAAAGCTGTCATCATCAAGACAGTATGGTACTGGCACAAAAACAGACACATAGATCAATGGAACAGAATTGAGAGCCCAGAAATGGACTCTCAACTCGATGGTCAACTCATCTTTGACAAAGCAGGAAAGAATGTCCAATGGAAAAAAGACAGTCTCTTCAACAAATGGTGTTGGGAAAATTGGACAGCCACATGCAGAAGAATGAAACTGGACCATTTCCTTACAGCGCACACAAAAATAGACTCCAAATGGTTGAAAGACCTAAACGTGAGACAGGAGTCCATCAACATCCTAAAGGAGAACACAGGTAGCAACCTCTTCGACCTCAGCTGCAGCAACTTCTTCCTAGAAACATCGCCAAAGGCAAGGGAAACAGGGCAAAAATGAACTATTGGGGTTTCATCAAGATAAAAAGCTTTTGCACAGCAAAAGAAACAGTCCACAAAACCAAAAGACAACCGACAGAATGGGAGAAAATATTTGCAAATGACATATCAGATAAAGGGCTAGTATCCAATATCTATAAAGAACTTATCAAACTCAACACCCAAAGAACAAATAATCCAATCAAGAAATGGGCAGAAGACATGAACAGACATTTTTCCAAAGAAGACATCCAAATGGCCAACAGACACATGAAAAAGTGCTCAACATCACTCGGCATCAGGGAAATCCAAATCAAAAGCTCAATGAGATACCACCTCACATCAGTCAGAATGGCTAGAATTAACAAGTCAGGAAACGACAGATGTTGGCGGGGATGTGGAGAAAGGGGAACCCTTCTACACTGTTGGTGGGAATGGAAGCTGGTGCAGCCACTCTGGAAAACAGTATGGAGGTTCCTCAAACAGTTGAAAATAGAGCTAACATAATATCCCGCCATTGCACTAATGGGTATTTACCACAAAGATACAAATGTAGGGATCCGAAGGGCTACGTGCACCCCAATGTTTATAGCAGCAATGTCCACAATAGCCAAACTGTGGAAAGAGCCAAGATGTCCATCAACAGATGAATGGATAAAGAAGAAGTGGTATATATACACAATGGAATATTATGCAGCCATCAAAAGGAATGAGATCTTGCCATTTGCAACGACATGGATGGAACTGGAGGGTGTTATGCTGAGTGAAATAAGTCAATCAGAGAAAGACATGTATCATACGACCTCGCTGATATGAGGAATTTTTAACCTCAGGAAATAAACTGAGGGTTGCTGGAGTGGGGGGGGGTGGGAAGGAGGGGGTGGCTGGGTGACAGACATTGAGTAGGGTATGTGCTATGGTGAGCGCTGTGAATTGTGCAAGACTGTTGAATCACAGATCAGTACTTCTGAAACAAATAATGTGATATATGTTAAGAAAAAAAAAAGAAGATAGCAGGAGGGGAAAATGAAGGGGAGTAAGTCGGAGGGGGAGACGAACCATGAGAGACGATGGACTCTGAAAAACAAACTGTGATTTCTAGAGGGGAGGGGGTTGGGGGGATGGGTTAGCCTGGTGATGGGTATTAAAGAGGGCACGTTCTGCGTGGAGCACTGGGTGTTATGCACAAACAATTAATCATGGAACACTACATCAAACACTGATGTATGGTGATTAACATAACAATAAAAAATTAAAAAAAAGGAAATGATTCAGGGAAGGGGGAAGGTATTATAAAAGGAACTAATACTTTTTGAGCACCTACATGTCAAGTTTTATGCTGGCATTTTATATATTAACTAATTTAGTTTTTATAGCAAGCATTGGAACAATTCGAGTGTTTAAAAAGTTGGAAGAAGTAGAGAAGAGACAAATTAAGCATAATCTGACCTCTCAAAGACATCTAAGTTTCCTTCAAAACATCTTTCCAAGCACTTTTAAAAACTGAATTGAGATCATACGATACATATAAACTTGCATTCTGCTATTTTTCTATTATCATTATAGTGTAAGCACTCCTCCATGCCATTGGAAATCTTTAGCATCTATTTAGCATATATTTAAAAGGTCAGGTTGAGTACTATAATTAGCAGATTACTATGTATTTTGATGTTTGGGTGGGTGGTTTTAAACATCTTTTTTATAAATACCCTGAGATACACATTTTTATGCATGAAATTTTTTTATGTTTCCTTTTTCACCAGAGCCCATTGCTTGAGCTGGGATTTGCTGGGTTAAGTAAATGGTGTGGGTATTTTGGATACATACTGCCAAATTATACTTTCAGAGAGATCATACCAATTTAGACCCATACTAGCCATGTGAACATTCTGGCCAACTCTTTGCCCCTTGGTCAACTAATTTTAGTTTTCTAGGGATCTCATTAGGGAGCTTAATAAATCTGGCAGGATGAGGATTTTTATTACGAAATCATAGGTTAAGAAACTAAGGTTCAGAGAAGTAAGAGGATATGCTACAAGTCCCATGGGTGCCATGCTATAGAAGTTGTACCAGTGTCCTTTTCGAGATCCCCCTCTTCTTCCTTCCCTTGCTAACTCCTAGGAGACAGTCTAATGAACAAAAGGAAATGAAAAGTAGAGGTCTGGAATATCTAGTGACCATAATCTAGAGCTGTTTCAGCTTCTCCTCAATCTAATACCTACCTACCAAGCTGTGACATGCAAACTAGCCAAGTTTGGGGAGAAACTGACTCATCTACCATGTTTATGTAAGATTTCAACCTATTTCTTTCAAATATTGATGAGTAAAACATCTAAAAATTCACAAATCTATAGATTTTTAACAAGAGAATGATTTAAAGAACATAAGTTGATCCTTGTACCAAACAAGTAGAGAAGTCATATTTTTCTAAACTGCACAAAGAACATTTATGAAAATTGACCACACACTAGGCATAAATCATGTCTTAGAACATGTCAAGGCACTGATATCAACTACTCTCTCAGTGTACTAATATCTTATTAGTACTTTTATATCTTATTACTTTAGTAATTAGTACTTACTAATTATTTAGTACTTACTAATATCTTATTTCTTTTTTCAGAGCACCATGCAATTAAGATGAAAAAGACAATGGAATAGGGAGCATGGACACAGATTTCAGACATAGGGAAACCTGGTATGACAAAGATGGCATTGTACCTCCATGGGGAAAGGTGGGACTGTTCAATTTATCATGCAGGACATTTATCCATATGGTAGAAAATTTAATTGGATTGCTAGCTACTTCATTATAGTACCAAAACACAAAAATCAATTCTAGATAGGTCTAAGGTTTAAACGTAAAAGGCAAAAAGTTTAGCAATTTTAGAAGAAAATATGATCTTGGGATAAATATTTCTTTAAAAGATATAAAAAGGAACAATCAATTGATAAATTCAAATACATTAAACTTAAGAATTTCTATTCATTAGAAGACTAGGAAGAACATTGCAAAGTCAAGTTACAATGTAGGAGAAGGTGTCTGCAATATATGTAACTGACAAAGGAATGGTATCTAGAATACATTAAAAAATCTATAAATAAATAAGAAAAAGACCATCAATCCAATAGGAAAATAGGAAAAAGGTTATCAACAGGCCTTCTACAGAAGGAAAGATACGTATGGTGAATAAACATATTAAAAGGGGCTCAACACTGAGTATTTTATACCCACTAAATTGGTGAAAATTAAGAATTTCTTCTTTGCTAAATGTTGGTGAGAAGGTGGATCAACATTCCCCTTAGAAATGGCTGGGGAGGGTGTAAATTGGTACAACCACATTGAAAAACAAGTTGGCATTTTTCTTATAAATTTGCATTCCCTACATAATTTGCATTTCCCTTCCCTTACGTATCTCCTAGAAAAATTCTTGGACATATTCACAGAAGAGATGAGTAAGAATATTTATAGCAATAGTGTTTATAAGTGCAAAAATTTGGAACCCTAAGTGAATCAAAAAGGAGCAGAGGGGACCTTTATTTTTAGTCATCTAGTTGAGAAAGGATAGATAACAAATAGCTAGAGAGGGGGCATCGAGTTTAGGACAGTTTCTTGATATAGTTATTTCATCTTTGAGAACAGACTGTTCTGTCATACAGTGCTTGCTATCCTCCAGGTTGCCTTGTACATAAGAGGTTATTAAATAAGGGTGTGTTGCATTGAAATGAGTTTCAAGTCTCTAGATTCAAAGATATGAAACAGATTGAAAAGCCCCAGTAACTTCTGAATCACCTACTACTGTTAAGTGACTCAGACTACTAACTGTCTATGTTATATCACAAGCTGACTTTTCATTCAGTCTCTAAGGCTCTAAAAAGGTGGCCCTCTGACCATACTTAACAAAGCATTGGAAAATGGGTTGCATATCAGTAGGGATAACCAATGAGGTAAAATGACTTACCTTGACTCTTTTTCATTTATGTCCATATTATCATAGATAATAACTTCCTGAGACCTAAGTTCTGGGTTCAAGACAGGATCAAAATAGTCATTAGGTGTGATTTATACAATCCCTTGCTTTCCAAATTATTCACAAAACCCAATTATCCAGGTGCATCCCCACATCTGTTCATAGATCTGATCACAGAATATAAATAGGCTGGAAGGATCAAAGAACAAAAAGAATCTCAATTTGGGAAGAAATTTAAATGAGAGATTAAAAAAATAGTGGCATGCCCTAGTATCTCAAACACAGACATATATATTTATATCAATTTAATTTCATGCAGATTTTCAGAAAATATGAGTTGCTGAAAGGATCATTTTTAGAGTAGGTTCCCCTCATCGTGGAACTGGATGAAGATATTCCACTTCTAGACTAGTAAGAGGGCTTTTCCTAATTCCTGGGAAAAAGACAGTTTAAGTAGAATATTCATATTGATTTTTCTTCCATTATTTTTATTTCAAACCACAGGCAACTGTTCTTCTATAATAATATTGCATAAAATTGAATCTTAGTGCATAATCATAATTAGACATTTTCAGTTTAGGATATTCACATTCCTGGGGCTCAACATAGAATTCCATCATTTTTTTAAAGAGGTGAGGGTAGGGTAGAGGAAGAGAGAAAGAGAGAATCTTAAGCAGGTTCCACACCCAGTTGTGGAGCCCGACGCGGGGCTCTATCTCACAACCCTGAGATCATGACCTGAGCTGAAATCAAGAGTCAGACACTTAACTAACTAAGCTACACAGGTGTCCCAGAATTCCATAATGCTTAAGTGATTTACCATTTGAGTGAGTTTGAGACCTTCTGGTATAATTATTCATAATTCATATTTGTTCATAAATTTGGGTGGGAGTACAATGCATGCCTATTCTAAGTTGGCTTTTTAGATTTTTATATGGACCAAGGGAGTTTTGGGAGACCTGTGATTTTACCAGGTTTTTTATAGAACCTTCATTTGTTTAGTGTAGCAAACTCATATTTCTGGAATATAATATACATTTGAATTGCCTATTCAGAGTGAACTCAAAGTACCATCATGGCTAGAGCTCAGAAAGAAAAACCAACAAACAACACAGCCCTCTTTTATTGACAGATTCAACTTACTGAACATGTATTGTGATCATACTATATATCAGGCAATATGCTAATTTCTGCACTATTGTTTTTATAGCAAAGCAAAGAATATTCCAATGACCTATCCTTGATGCAATTAGTATGTGTACTGCAATGTGATCCTGCCCAACTTATTATGTATTAATTAGGGTGATTTGGCTTTCAAATCCTTCAAGAGGCTGTGTGGTATAATGTAAAATGCACAAGCTTTGTAATCAGAGAGACTTGAGTACAAATCCCAGATCACTAAAGTATGGATGTGGGTCCTAGAGCCTCCCTAAAAAGATTATACCTATTTTTCTGGGATTTTAAGAGGGCTGGTATACAGTAGGTATTTAAGAAATATTACTCATCTTCACTAAAGTAAATAATACTGTTTTGTAAAATGTCTTCTTTGATTTTTATGTATCAATTTTTCATTAAATGTGGAATGAAGGAAGGCTTACTACTTCTCTGTCCATGCCCCTGAATATGCTAATGCTGAGTAGTTTTGTACCAGCAATTAGTGAATGTCACTTACCTAAATCAGGCATCGAAATTGAAAATGCACTGTAGATTGACAAAAGACACAAAAGGGTTATGAAAAAAAGCCAGGTTCAGAGAGATTCGTTGATCCATCTCAAATAACATATTGATGACTAGGTTTCTTGATGCAGGTGTTTCTAGGCAAAGATGTGAAACAAACCTTTCCTACAGCTTTGTTCTGATTAACCTTCTCCTCGCTTCCACACCACCATTTAAAAATGAGCTTATATATCTCCAGGGGCCACCCATTATCCACTCTCCCTTTCCTAACTAGACAACCTCAGGCTCTGCCTTTGTCCATCCACAAGATCCTGTTTCTGCCTTCTAACCTTCCAAGATGCTCACCAAATACAGGCATGCCTTGTTTTATTGCCCTTGGTTTTATTGCACTTCATACATACTGTGGTTTTTTATAAATGGAAGGTTTATGATAACCCTACATCAAGCAAATCTATCAGTGCTATTTTTCCAACAGCATTTTCTTAGTTTGTGTCTCTGTTATATTTTGGTAATTCTCACAATATTTCAAACTTTTTCACTATGATTATATTTGTTATGTTGATCTGTGGTCAGTGATTATGACTCACTAAAGCTCAGATGATGGTTAGCATTTTTTAGCAATAGAGTACCTTTTAATTAAGGTGTGTACATTTTTTTAGACATGGTTCACACAACAGACCACACTATAGTGTAAATATAACTTTTATATGAACTGGGAAACCAAAAAATTAATTCAATTTATTGTAACATTTGCTTTGTTGTAGTGGTCTGGAACCCAACCCATGATATCTTTGAGGTGCACTTGGATATCCACTGTGAGATAAATATGGTGAGAGAGAACTACCCTCTGCAGACACAGGACCCTGCCTATGTATATGGTTAAGCCAAAAGGATATCTTGAGAGCAGAGCTCCAGGCCAGGGGGAAATGGAAGATAGCAGACTGCTAAGTGGGAGAGGACATTTGGCCCAAGTAGACTGTTTGGTTACACAGTTAAGGAGATGGAAGGAAGTATGATGTGGTAGAAAAAAAAATTCATGTATTTTAAACAATTTAAGTTCAGTCCGACAGGTATTAGGGGGACGCTGACCATGGGCCAGGCCCATGTGCTGGGCATACAAAATGATCAAAGTTTCTACCCCAAAGTAGCTTAGCATTTAATGAGGGAGACCAAAAGTAAATTAGTACAACACTGTATGATAAGACCATAATACAGGATTGTCCAAAGAAACAGCACTTTTGGGAAAAATCAGCTAACCTTTATGCAAGCCTTGGTTTCTTCCTTTCTAAAGAGCATACCAGCTCTATCTTGCAGGGTGAGTATTAGAGCTGGATGGGGTGTACCTAACCCTGGCAAAGGAGCTGAGGATGCTCACTGGTCTCTGCTGTCAGTAACTGTGTGACCAGACTGGGTGCTGTCAGAATAGAGGAGAAGCAGTACCGGGTCCCTGGAGTCAGAGAGAGCTGAATCTGACTCTTAGTTCTGCCACTTACCCACTTACCCTGTGCAAGTCACATAACTTCTCAAAGCCTTAATTTTTCATCTGGGAAATGGAGAAAAGAGTTCCTATCTCATGGGGTTCTTGTAAAGATTGGAGAGAGAACACATGTGAAGCACTTCACCCTCCCTGTCCCCAATGCCTAGTTAGCATGTATCCTTGGCCTCTCCACTCAAGGGCTCCTGGCTCAACAAAGCCTTTCTTAACACCAATTCCCTTCCTCTATTTTAAGTGGGCCAGGGTGGTGGTAGCTTCTATTTAAACCTAGAAATTGAGGCTACAAAAAATCTCGAATGAGGGGTGCCTGGGTGGCTCAGTCGTTAAGCATCTGCCTTCAGCTCAGATCATGATCCCAGGGTCCTGGGATCGAGCCCTGCATCAGGCTCCCTGCTCAGCGGGGAGTCTGCTTCTCTCTCTCCCACTCCCCCCTGCTTGTGTTCCCTCTCTCGCTGTGTCTCTCTGTCAAATAAATAAATAAAATCTTTAAAAAAATCTAGAATATTTCCTTCCTCTAGGTTATTCATTCAATAGCCATTTATTGAGTACCTATCATGTCCCAGGCATGGCTCTTTATGTTGGAGATACAGCAATGGACAGAACAGTCAATATCCCTGCCTGCATGGGTTCTAGTAGGGTGAAGCAGACAAAACAAGGAAATTTATGTTCTGTCATGTGAGGAGTTAAGGACAATTGAAAAAAGTAGAGCAAGATAAGGGGGCAGGAGAGCTGAAGGTGAAGGTTGGCTTGCCGTTTTTCAGAAGATGGTCAGGGAAGGGTTTACTGGTAAGGTGGCTTGAGTAGAATCCTGAAGGGAGTCAGGAAGTGAGCCACGCAGTTATCTGAGTAAGAGTATTCTAGGAAAGGGAAGAACAAATACAGAGACCTTCAGGCAGAGGTGTGCCTGGTCCTTTAAAGAAAAGCAAGGAAGTCAGTGCATCTGGAACAGAGGGAGTGAGAACAGGTTTAACATCTAATTCCCATGTAAAATTCATAGCATAGCTAAGGCTGGTGGCATTTAATTCCTGACTTATTTATACCTAAATCAAGCCATTGAATGACTACCCTAATAGGCAGTGTGTGTGTCTGAGACAAAGAGAGGGTAAAGAGCCTTACTCTGTTTTTGTTTTGTTTCATTTTGTTTTTGGAAGAGACACTCTTTTTAAATGTCACATTACCATGGCTGCAACTTCCCTCTGAAGGTAAAGTAATCAACTAGGAGTTGGTGTTCAAGAGAGGAGCCCTCAATCAAAAGGCTCAACAGAAGATAATAAAATTCTGTTCTGTCTTGTTATATCTACATGTTATTAAATGAAAAATTAAGGCAGAGAGGCAGATTTTGCCAAAATTTATGGGAAAAAATCTTAATAGACCTTCCTAAAGATGAAACATCTTTCTCTGCAGGTGGTAACTTCTCTTTTATAGAGGTGTGCAGGCACAGATATTTGGCTCGTTAGGAAGTTTGCAGAGAAGCTTGTGTACTGGGTTGGACTAGATAATATGGATTTCTCTTGTTACCCTGAGACTCTCTGACTCTAAGAAAAAAGGTTTCTCAGGAGATGTTGCAAGACATGCTCCGGATGTTAGGGAGATACACAGGAGAGACAGGTGATCCAGGTTTGGGTAGAGAGGTTCAGGGAAGATGTCCCAGAAGGGATACTATTTGACCATATTTTAAAGGAAGACTAGAACTTTGATAATCAAAGGGGGTTGGAGGAGGGCAGATGCATTCAAGACCAAGGGAAGGTCCTGGTTAAAGTGAAGAGGCATGCAGTACGATGGCAGAGTTAGATCTGTGGGGGTATTTATATGGCATAGTAGAGAGTGGAAATCATAGATAAACAAACAAACAAACAAAAAACTGGACAGGTAAGAAGGCAGCTGCCATAAAGTATTTACTTGCCATAGGAGGGACTGGTTATTTGTTTTAAAGGTTGTAAGGAGTCACTGAATAGTTCTAAGAAAAAGGAAAGCAGATTTGCATTTAAAAATATGTGCATTCTCGCCTAGGTCAATTTTTAAAAAATATTTATTTTAGAGAGAGCATGAGTGGTGGGGGGCAGAGGGAGAGAGAGTCCCAAGCAGACTCCATGGCAAGTGCAAAGCCCAACATGGACCTTAATCCCATGACCCCAAGATCATGACCTGAGCTGAAACCAAGGTGGGACACTTAGGGGCGCCTGGGTGGCTCAGTCAGTTAAGTGACTGCCTTCAGCTTGGGTCATGATCCCGGAGTCCCAGGATCGAGTCCCACATCGGGCTCCTTGCTCAGCAAGGAGTCTCCTTCTCCCTCTGACCCTCCCCTCTGTCGTGCTCTTTCTCTCATCCTCTCTCTCAAATAAATAAATAAAATCTTAAAAAAATTATTAAAAATAAAGAGTGGGACACTTAACGGACTGCACCATCCAGGTGCCCCTCACCTGAATCAAATTTCTAAGGGACCACAGGCATCATAATTTTTTGTCAGAAGCATCTAACCTGCTAGGCCCAGACAATGCCTTTGTGCATAGGTCTTATTGACCACTGCAGCTCTAGTTCCATGGTCAGGACTATAATTTATGAACCCCATGTTCTGTTAGATCTCTTGGTAGATCTAGATCCAGCAGACAATTGGACTTAAAATCACATAACTTTGAAGTTTTATGATTGACAAGAACTTCAAGGTAGAGTAACAATTCCACGCCAGTATACCTGATGACCCTGGGGAAATTATTTTACCATCTCCTGCCTCTTAAAACAGATCTATCCATTTCTACATATTAGAGAAGTACCTCTGAGTCTCCCTTGTATGCAAGAGGAAACGTGGGCTGGATCATGATTTGCCCCCAACTGCACAATGAATAAATTGCAGAGCTGAAACTAGAACCCAGAATTCAGGCCTCCCATCTCTACTGCTAGTAAATCTGTAACCTTCTCAAACACTGGTAATTAGCTGGGAAAGAGAGGGTCCTCTCCAGGTCTAAGACCTTGAGATATATGACCCACTCAGCTGGAAAGTTCATCTCCCCTCTCTACACACTGCCTCACTCCAGAGAGGCAAATTAGAATACAAAATGTAGACAACTAAAACCACTGGAACTTGTAGGGCTAAGAAAGCATAAAAGGATACAATTAATAATATAATAGTTAGTGATAATAGGAATATATGCCAAAGGTGATGAGGAAAAATTTCCTTTCTAGACTTCCTTCTACCCTTGTTTACAACCCTTTATCATCAATTTTTTTTTTTTCCAAAAGGGATATTGTCACTGTCTTATTAGTATCTGTGGGTATGGTTCACTCACAAATTGAAAAGGAAGAGGCAGGTGTTAACCAGGGCCTTTGGTTTTACTTTCAGAGATCCCCTGCACTGTTTCTGAGACTAGGATGTAAAACTACCAGGTTAGAACTGCTAGGCCTCTCCTGGAAAGAAAAAGTAAGAAAGACTTTTTACCTCATGTTTTCTTTCAACTTGTTTTTCTTCATTTTAAACCTATCCTTTTCTTTCTTGAAGAATTTCCGCAGTCTTTTAAGTGCTTCTTTTCCATCTAAACTAAGAGGAATCAGAGGATATAAATAACATGGCATTTCACAGAGTACTGGAGATGGACGAGGCTCATTCCAGAACACATCTCACTCCAGGAAGAGACAGGAAATGCCTTATCGACATCTGTGCTCTTCTTTGTTGAGGTACCAATATGAAATAACACATACCAGTCAGCTATGAAGGGGATTATACTTCAATACAAACTTTCATCCACCCTGAATGGTCTCTATTTTGAGGATACAAAGCAAGGTCTTCCTTTTAGAGAAGGTGACTTTGGGAAGCATAGTTTATAAACTATACTGGAAAAATGTTTTGAAATTCCTGGCTCCTGAAATCTACATCACTGACTTAATTTATTGAATGATGTCACAACAATGGTGGTACATTTACTGCCCGGTTAAGGATTACAATTCTTCCAAATATGCTCTCAGGTTTTTTAGGAGGTAGGGAGAGGGAATGATACACCCACACCATCCCACCCAGTATGGATCCCTACCCTTCCCTTCAACCCTAAACTTTCTTGCTTTTGACCATTGCTGTTTCCTTTCCACAATGTGCCCCAATAACTAAACTTGATGAATAATGCCCATTTGAACAAATGTTCCTGGTAATGTGGAATTCTTAGATATTAAATTAAGCCAAAATCCCAGAGACAGTCTTATTAACTTGCAAAGACATAGGTTAAGTCATAACCATTGATTTCTTCTGGAAATGCTGATAGAACTGAAGCCAAGTTTTACTGATATTTACTTCTCCTTTCTCACTTATTTCCTAACACAATATTAAAGCCCTCTACCTTGAGAGGAGGACACTTTCTCAAAAGAGGAAGCAATATAATTAAAAATTATAGCATATGATTGTATACAATCACAAGTCTCTTATTCATCACAGGGTAGTATTAAAATATCTTATCTCTACTCTTGATGCAAATCCTCCCTAAGGATGATAGGGTCAAGGGAAGGGCATTGTTTCTTCAACTCTGGTTTTCCTACACTAACAGGGAAGTACCATTAGCTATAAAGCTGAGAAAGAGAGAAACTCACTCTATCTCTGGGTAGTTGCTCTTTGTTTTATAGACCTCTTCATATACTTCTTCACTATTTTCTTCTGAAATTAAAAAAAAACTATTTTCATTTATTATAATGACAGTAGTTCAGATTCATATTTCATAAGAAATTACTGGATACCTATCAGGTGCTAAGTACAATTTGATGTCAAGCACAATTTTTTTTAATAAGCATATGGTAAAAATAGTTAAACCTCTATAAAAGTATGTACAAAGTGAAAATTCATATTTGCTTCCACCCAATTCCAAGTCTGATCTGATGTAGTAGAAGAAAGCTCATTTATTAACAGATTCCATCCTTCTACTCTCATCCTTTGCATATTTCATATATAACATTCAGAGTCTACTAAACAGCACATACTGTGCTGAGTGCTGGGGCAATAATGGAGAACCAAAGCATCTTGAATAATCTTTCTCTTGATAGCATGGCTTTAGCCTAGCCCAACACATGAGCTTAAAGTATACAGATACGCTTTGAGGCTACCCAGCAATGGAGGATTTTCAAGTTTAAAATGTGACTCACACACAGTGAGTTTAGGAGAGTCACTTAACTTCTCCATGCCTTAGTTCCTTTCTATAATGGCATACTAGATTTCATGATCTCTAAGGTTGTTTCACCATCTAAAATTCTGACATTCTAAGGAAGACAAAAGCAACAGAGGATTATCCCTCCTCTGTTATTTCCTTATCCATTCACATTCAATAAATATTTTTTGTGTATCTCACATGTGCTTGGCATTATGCTAGGGGCTAGGAAAAATAGCAAGCATAAAGAAAGTAACAATCTAGGAGGGAAGACAGTTATTAATGGAAGAATCACATACATATAAAATTATAACTGTAAAGTGCTGAGAGAGAGGACCATGGTACTAGGAGATAGATGAGACTGTACACCAAGGGGACTATTCCCTGGGGCAATAATGAAGGAGTTGGGATTGGAGGAAACATTAAGAGTCACACAGGCAAAGGGGCCCAGGGGAGGGAAGAGCACTCCAAAAAGGAGGAGGAGCACATGAGAACACCCTGTGGTGGAGCTTGGCAAGTCAGAGAAGCTAAAAGGAGGTAGGCATGAATGGATCTCAAGGATGAAGACTAAGTATGGTGTGAAAAGTCCTCAGTAGCAGGTAGAGGCAAACCACTCAAGGCTCTAGACCATGTAAGAGTTGATCTTAAAAGTATTGGGAAACCATGATAGTGTGTTAAGTAAACAACATTCCTGGAATTTAAGAAAGAAAACAGATGAACATGTGGGAAGGGGAAAAGAAACAAAGGAGAGAGGGAAGCAAGCCCTAAATGACTCTTCATGATAGAGAACAAACTGAGGGTTGATGGAGGGAGGTGGGTGTGGGATGGGCTAGAAGGGTGATAGGGATTAAGGAGGGTACTTGTGATGAGCACTGGGTGTTGAATGTAAGTCATGAACCACCAAATCCTATCCCTGAAACCAATATTGCCCTGTGTATTAACAAAATTTAAATTAAAAAAAATTCCTATAACCAGACCTGCATTGTGAAGCAGTCAGGAAGGAGGACATTTCACAGTGAATTTGCTTTATTGCCACAAGAGCCCCATCATTAGCATCTTCACCTTCATGATTCTAAGTGCATTTGTTAGCACATACCTTGGACCACTTCTCCCACCTAGCTTATCATCACCTTGCCTGACTGGCATTATTAAAAGTATATAAAGATAAAAGACACCTTACACTATCAGCCACAGAAGCACTCAGCAGTTCCTACCGACAGTTTCAAATGTCTTCTTATACTTACCATTATCGGAAGCAAATGAGTTACAGAGGTCTGACTGTGGTCTGCAGGGGAGAAATAATGCAAAGACCCTTAGCCTATTGTGTTGTACCTTCAGTCTCGCCACAGTCATCTCTAGTCTCACCACACTGCTGAAGGGCTGACGTGCACTTACCCCGCTCTCCCGGGGTACTCAACATCATCATAGGTCTCCTCTGAGATGGAGTGAGGCTTACAGGCCCCGCTGCCTAGAGCTTCTGTAGTGACCTCCAAGGCCTCCACATACCCACCTGTAAAGAAAACAGAGAAAATCCTGAAGAATAGCTCATCAACTGCTACCATAAATGCATTTACACATGCCATGGCAGTGGAGGCAAGAATAAGAAAGGCAGATTTCATACCCTGAAACTGGGTTATAATCTTGGTATGTATGCTTCTTTGGCACCCCACTTCACCTTGCAGAGACTCAGTTATGGTTCTCTGAAGTTGGGACAATAATAACACCAACTCTTATATGATGGTGGCAAGGATGAATATGTATTTATAAAGAGTGCTAGCCTAGTGACCAGTAACTCTTCTTTTGATGGCTGTTCTCTAATCTCTGACCTCAGATGGTGAGATCCTCCAGGGTACAGCCCTGGAGTTTCTATTTTTTTCCTAAAGATTTATTTATTTATTTGAGCAAGAGAGCGAGCGAGCATGGGGGAAGGGCAGAGGAAGAGGGAGAGCGAATCTCAAGCAGATTCCCCACTGAGTGCAGAGTCCAATGACGCAGAGTTCGATCCCATGACACTGACTGAGATCATGACTTGAGTCAAAACCAAGAGTCACAGGCTCAACTGACAGAGCCACCCAGGATCCCCTTCTCTCTCTTTAAATCTAGATGACCTTATCCAGTTTTGTGGCATTTTATCTTCAAATTTCTTAGACAAGTTGTTTGAGCATGTTAACATTTCTTATTTCTTAGTGATGGAATTAGCCAGAAGATGGTGTGCCAGGTTGAAAAATGTACAGGGATTGTTGACACAAGTAGCTAGTTGCAGGTGCTGCTTTATTTCACAGAGCTGTAAACTTGTCATAACCATAAAATTGCCACATTTTTATCAGTTGGTGTGGGTTAATATTTCGAGTATGGGTGATTCAGAACCATTTTCACACATGAACTATTATTCAGAAAGAAGAAGTGATACATCTGAGAAGTAAGCAATGAGCAAATTGACTTATGTCAATTAAATGAACCAACCAAGCAACAAGATTTTATCCCCTAATAAGAAGTCAGTTAGCATGTAGACCCTGAACCGTCTCAAGCATGTCAGCTCCTTAAGCCATAAAGTGCTGCTTTTCCTTAAGGCGTTACCAGTAAATTTCTGCAGCACAAAGCAGAGATGCTGAACACCCAGGTGCTTAATTCCCAGTTTAAGACATTTTCTTTTTTCCTTTCTGAATCCTTCCTTTTGGCTGCAACGTATATAAAAGTTTGTGGCTTCTTTTTAAAAACACAGACAACTCCCAAATTTACATCTCTAACTTAGACATTTTTCATGAATTCTAGATACTCCATCAGCCTTCACACCACTCCCATTTGGTTGTCTAAACACATTATGCTCCAAACCAAACTCACACTTTCTCTCTGCAAATCTGCTTTTCCTGAAGTCGGCTCCATCTCAATAAAAAATGGCCACACGGCCTTTCAGTTGTTCAGGTCCCAAATACAAAGACGTCCTTGACTCCCTTCTCTACTTCCAAATTCTATCCTGAATCCAAATGCATCTCAACAAGTCTGCCACGTATGCTCCTCCGAGCTCCAGTCATTTCTCTCACATTAGCGCAACAAGCTCCTAACAGGTCCCTGATTTATCCCTTCGCATTTCTTCTTTCATGACTTCGGCCAGGATGATTCTTTAAATACAATCAGATCATTCTGTTCTTGTGCTCAAAACCTCTCAGTCATTCTGAAAAATCTGTCAGAGGAAACGCCAAAGTTCTTGGAATGGTCTACAGAAGCTCCCACACTATCTGGCCCTTATCATGTCTCTGACCTCATCTCCTACTACACCCTGCTCCAGCCACACAGCCTCCCTGCTGTTCTGCCCCCACATCTGGTAGGTTCCTGCCTCAGGATATTTGCATTTCTTCTCCCCTCCCCAGGACATGCTTACCCTAGATACACTTGGCTCTCACCTACTTTACATCTTTGGAGTCACCTATGAACACTTTAAAATTACAACTCCTACTACTTCCACTTGCTTTCTTGATTCTCTTTCCTTGCTTTACTTTTTCCCATAACATTTACTACCATAGCATTCCACAGAGTGGATATTTTATCTTTTATATATTTACCATCTGTCTCCTCTGATCAGAATGCAACTTCCATGAGCATAGGGATTTTTGTCAGTTTTGTCTACTGCTATACCCCCAGCACCTAGAATAGAGCCAGGCACATAAAAGGCACTCCAGTTTTTTTTTAATATTGACTGATTTGAATGCATATGTCTTCTAACTAGAGTGTTTTGCATATTAATAGTGTTTACTGATATATTAAATTTTACATCTTCTATCTCATTACATACTTTTTATATGTTCTGTTCCCCCCCATCTTCCTCTTTCTTGACTGATATTTCTTCTCTTCATTCTTCTTTGTTTTCTATTTGTTTGGAAGGAATATGTGCTATCTTTTAATAGTTATCCTAGTACGTTTTAAATTTTAATGATAACATACAGGAAAAAGCACAAATCATAAGAGTACAGCTCAATGGATTTTCCCAAATTGAACATATTCATGTACATAGATCAAAAACCTAACACTGCCAGTGCCCCCAAGCCCTTCCCATGCTCTGTTCTAGTCCTCATTCCCTCCCACAATGGGAGCCACCATCGTACTGCCTAATATCAGAGGTCCGTTCTGCTTATTTCTGAACTTTATATTAATGGAATAATTCAGAATGTTCTCTTTGGTGTTGCCTACTTCCCTTCAATACTAAGTGACATTCATCTGTGCTGTTGCGTATGGTTGTAATTTGTTCATTCCTGTAATGATTCCATTGTGTGAACATGCTACATTTATCCTTTCTACTTTAGATGGACATGTGGATGGTTTCCAGTTTGAGGTTATTATAAAAAGTTCTGCTATGAACATCTTGTATATGTCTTGGTAAATTGAAGTATGCATTTCTATTGGGTATAAGAATAGTCATGGGGTTGCTAGTCATAGGAGATGCATATGCTGGGCTTTAATAGATACTGCCAGACAGTTTTCCAAAGTGATTACCCCAGTTACAGTCCCAGCAGTGTAGGAGAGTTCTAGTTGTTCCATAACTTCACTAAGACTTGATATTTTTAGTGGTTTTTATTTTAGCCATTTGAGTGGGCGTGTAGTGATATCACATTGTAGGTTTCATTTGCATTTCCCTGAGACTTAATGAAGGTGAACAGCCCTTCCATAATGTATTTGCTTTTTTTAAAAAATATATTTGCTTTTTGAATATCTTCTTAAGTACCTCTTCAAGTATTTTCCCAATTTCTCCAATTTTTTTTCTGATTTTTATATTTTCTGGATACAGTGATGTTTATAGAAGATTTATATATTCCATATCAGGGTCTTTGTCAAACATATATATAAATCAAGTAACTTCTTCCACTCTGTGCCTTGCTTTTTCACTCTGACTGGTATCTTTTGATGAATATATATCCTAGCTACTCTCTTTTAAAGCTAGCGTAAATTACTATTGTTACAATTTAAAACCTTAGAATGCTTTGAGTTACCTTCCCAAAGTATGTGCTATTAATGTTCAATATTTTTTCCCCTCTCCCCAGTTTGATGTTATTGTTTTATTCAGTTGACACTTTTGCTATTCTTTCTTGCATCCGGAATTCTCTATCTGGGATTATCTTCTTTCTGCCTGAACTACACGCTTTAGAATCTCCTTGAGAAAGTTTCATTTGGTGATTAAAATCTCTCACTTTTTATTTGTCTGAAAATATAATAATTTTTTCTCCATTCCTGACATGCATTTTCACTAGTTATACAATTCTGGATAGACATTCAATATTTTTCAGCAGCACTGTATTCAAGTTACGCACTCTTGTTGAGAACTCAGCAATCAGCCTGCTTGTTTCTTTCTGGGTGATTGGCCTTTTCCTTTGTCTGCTTTTAAGATATTTTAAGATATTCTCTTATTCTTCAATATTCTTCCATTCCCTTAAGATATAACTAGGTGTGGAGTTCTTTTATTTATCCTAGTTGAGAACTTAAGGGCTTCTGGATCTATAAATTTATACCTTTCAACAATTCTAGAAAATTATCAGGCATTATCTCTTTATTCTCTTTATTTTATCCTCCTTCCCACTCTTTCTAGGACCCTTTTGTAGAATGCTGATTTGATGTTATTTTAAGACTTCTTTTATCCTTGAGGATTCTTATCCTCTCGTTCATTCTTTCCTATCACTTCTCCTGTGGAATATATTTTGGATAGTTTCTCTAGATTTATCTTTTTGTTCCTTAATTTCTTTACCTGTGTCTAATCTGATGTATAATTCATTCACTGCATTTCTATATCAATTTATCAAATTATTTATCTTTTTCAAATCTGTTTATTCCCTGTTCATATTTAATTTTTAAAATATATTAAATATTATGTTTTGTGTTTAATAATTCTAATATCTGTACTATCTTTCAGGTTGGCTCCTAGATCTGTTATTTTGCTGGTTTCCAATCACTGTGACTTGTTTGCTTGTATGTTTAGTAATTTTTGTCTACGAACTGTTAATTTTTAAAAGTATATATTGTTGAATTATCTGAAACCTGGAATAGAAGTTGGTTCCATCAAAGAGGATTTTGTTTGCTTCTCCCAGTTGTCTGGGAGGGCTACCAAGCTGATACCACATTGGATTACTTTGGGTTTCTTTTGGACCACACACATTGTAGTGGGGATTTGAACTGCTGACATGAGGATCAGCTTATGGTAATCATTTTTTTTTCCTTCACCCAGCACCAGGGTCAAAATGGACCAGTTTCCTTCTGATTACCAGGGCTTATGTTTTGTTAATTTTTTTGTCTACCAAAAGAAGTGATACTTTTATTTCATTCATTTTTTCAAGAGGCCTATTTGCACAGGAGGAGTATAGAAAGACACTCTATTGTATTTTTCTTCTCAAAACTTTGATTTCATGCCAACTCTCCTTGACTAAGCATTTTGTGCTACTCAAACAAGTACTGGAAAGAACTATTAATGGACTCAGCAACTCCCTTTGTGCTTTAGCAGCATGTACAGATTACTCAGAATAATCCTCTTTGGACTGTTTTCTTCATGGTATAATCCTCAAATCTATAGTGACTCTTCACAGACAGTACATAATTGCATGAAAATACTTTTTAGCCCCATATTCAGGGCTCTCCCGGAACTCTTTAATTCACTTCAACTGGTCTTCCTCTTACTTCCATTTTTTTTCTATACTCCAAATTAAATCTACCCACTTCTCAATTTAAGGCATGGTTTTTGGTTTTATGCCACCTCTGTGCTTTCTTATGTGTCATTAATATCAAAAATATCCTTCTTTCTCCCTTTTTCATTTTTGAAAAAATTTTTATTGTGTTCAGAATGCTTGAGATCTACCCTTTTTATAACAAATTTATAAGTACACACTATAACATTTTTAACTATATGCACAGTCTTATTCATTCTGTGTGGACATAATCCTCTGAGGTCCTGACTTTATACAGAAGTCTCCAATTATGAGCTCACTTGGGGCAGGTCCTGGGATATATCTCCTGTCCTCTGCACATCACACCACCAAAATAGAAGTTCAAGAGATTCAGAGCTCAGTAAAAACCCTTAGGGCAAGAGTAGCTCTGGCACTCACCTTCCAGGGTTCCTGGTTCCTGCGAATATATGGATGCTTTCTTTTGACATCAGTTCTGTGATACTTTAATACATTTTCCAAAAATTTATTCTTTACTTTTCTTAGTCAAGAGAATTATTCATGTTGTCAAATCTACTGTAGTCTCACTGGAGTTGGATTTATTCTTTTATTCCTTTCTTTAACAAAGTTTTGTTGGGGGATCTCCAGTGTGCCAGACACTGTGCCAGGTTGCAGAAATACAGAGAAAAATACCAAATGGTCTCTAATCACATGGTGCCCACCATGTACTATGGGAGGCAAACACGTACCCCATGTATTATAATGTAAGGTATGCTATACTATTTTTAGAGAAGGAAATAAATGAAGAGAACAGTTACTGAGCACATGAAATATACACTTTATATACAATGACAAATAGCCCTGGAAAATTAGTATTAACCCCATTTGTATATGAAAGTCTGTAAATTTCCTAAGATTATGGGATTAGTATATAGGGGTCCTGGGTCTCAGAAATGCTTAACTGCAAAGCCTAATATGGAGATGGGGTCACTTGGTTGCTGTTTCAGTGCCATGGAAACAGAAAGGACTGGGGAATTGTGGTCCCAGGAGAGCAGGGAAGAGGTGGATGGATGGAGGTAAGTGAAGCCTCAGAAGAAGTGACTTCTGAGATAGATCTTAAAGGATGCCTAGGATATCAGCAGGTAGCTAATTCCAGACAGAGATCAGGTAAAATTACAGGGGCATTTAAACACATGATGCAGGAAATGCAGAATGCTGCAGAGTATGCAGGGAAGGACCTGTGAGGCAGGGATGTGGCCAACTAGCCCAGAGGCACATTTTAAGGGACCCGGAGTCCATCTTAGGATCACTGCGTATTTATTCTTCTCATAACTGTTTTGTAACATGTGAAATGTCAGTGGTCTGCCATGGTTTATTGGGCTGGAGTGGATATCTGTTTTCTTTGTCTACCCAATACCTATCCCCCTCCCCAACAGCCCTTTTCTTTCGCTTGGGAAATCAATCCTTCAATCTGATATTATGTACTTTTGGTAGAATGGACTCTGCCTGCAGCTCCTGGGATGAGTTTATGACATGGGCTGAGCCAACCAGAGCATCCTAATCCCCAGTCATAATGACTGGTTTAGAGATGACATGTGACCCAGTCAGAGCCAATAAGACCCAGATCTGGGCCTTTTCTCATAATTATTGAGAAGGTACAAATTTCTAGTTGTCCTCTGGGGTTCCTAAGGGGACAGGGTATAAGCTTGTTACAACTGGATGTCATATTGCCTCCAAAAGGGTAGGGTCTGTCTGAAAATGGAGCCAAGCCAGCCAGGGAGACAAAAACCTGGAGAAGAAGCAATTTTGAGTCCTTGGTATCGTTTGTGTATGTGGACCCCGTCACCATCAGACTTTCCTTGAGGTGAGTCTCCTTTTTGCTCAACACAATATGATCACTGTTACCTGTAATCAAGAGTCTTGACTAACATGAAGGTAAAATACAACCTAAATAAAGTCAACTAATGATATCCTAACTATATCATCAGTGTATCGATTATTTTGGCCTACAAAAATCAATAGGAGCTGGTAGATACACAAAGAAAGAAGTAAATATTTGCTGAGTACCTATTATGTGACCTACTGTCAGATTTGGCCCTCACAAATCTCCTGTGAGGCCCATAGTGTGATCCCTTTTTATCAATGAAGAAATGGAGTTGCAGGAATATGAAGTTATGGCTAATAAGTATTAGAGGCTAGATTTGACCTCTGGTTTTCTCCTTCTAAATCCAGTGCTCTTTCCATGACTGCCCAACTGCCTCACTAGGGCAAGTTTCCTTATACATAATAAATGTTCAGTAGATATTTATAAAAGAAACTAACATCTTGGACACCCACAACTTTAAAATCATTTGGTGACAGTGAAGAGAACCAGGAAGAAAGGCAACTTACAGTGGCCTAGGGAGTGCCTGGCCAGCTTCGGGTCTTGGGGCCAGGCCTTTGTCTGGACAGCATCGCTCACAGGGCCCTGCTTCCTGGGCAGCATGCTCCTGCTGCCTCCGAGGACTTTCATCACCTGCTTTCTTCCCCGCATCCCTCCACGGGCAGCCCCCTAAACACATGCAACAGGGAGAGTGCTGTAGAGCTCGGACTTACCTGCTCCGTTTGCCGCTTACTTCTGTTCTGTTCTTCAGTCATTCACGCTTCATGGAGAGCAATGATATATTGTGGTACTGAACACAGTCTCCCTAGACTAAGTTTCACAAGGATGCACACCAAGTCTTTGGCTCGCCTCTGAATGGCCACCGAATGACCAGTGCAGAGGCAGCCCCACAGAAAGCAGCCAGCATGTCACAGAGCACTGCCTACAAAGCAGGTTCTTCATATATCTGATCTCACCTCATCTCCATGACACCCCGATGGGAAAGTATCATTGGTCCATGTGATAAAGAGTTTCGAAAGGTTAAATAAAGGGCCTCCAAATCCTCTGGTCTCACAGCCAGTGGTCTACCAAGGCAGGACTTGAGCCCTGTGCTCTTGACCACCAAGCAATGCTGCGTTCCTTTTGCCTGACATTTCATCTCTCCCCTGGCCATTCTGTTCCTCCTCACTTCCTTTCCCACTCCCACCCTGCAGTGTTTGCCAGACACGAATGCTGAGTTCCAGAGGTAGAGAGACACCATGGGCACAGTGGCCTACACACTGATCACAGAGACATTACACACAAATATTAAGATACAGTGTGGCAAGAACCATTTGCAGTTGTGTTGTTCACTGAGACAGAAATAGAGGAGGGGAGGTCAGTTCGCTCGACTGGGAGACAGGGTGGAGGAAGATTTCCAAAGCAGGTCTTACTAAAGAGTATTTTAAAATAGAAGGACCCTTCCTGACTGAGGGGATGAAGGAGTACCTGGCAGATAAGTCAGCATGAGCAAAGGCATGGGTATCTGGAGAAGTGTTAGGTCCTCGGACAGGTGTATGGAGGCTGATGCTGAGGGAAGACTGGAAGGGACAGGGAAAAAAGACAAGGCGAGAAAGATGTGACAGAATGAGGCTGAGTAATGCAGGGTCATGCACGCAAGTTTCAGTGTGGGCCTCACTGAGCCCCAGGCAGCAATCTGAGCAGATGTTCATTTCAGAAAGATCTGGATGGATTGCCAGGAATAGACACTGGAAACCAAGGAGCATTACAGCCTTTCTGGCCATTTATCAGATGACAATGGGAGAGGAGATTACTGTACTTTGGATGTCAAGTGGACAGGAGAGTTGACTATGACAGTACATCTGAAAGTACTTGGAAGAAGCTGAAGTACTTAACAGATATTAAGTATGGGATTTCCTGAGTTCTTGGTGGGGTCTGGGCAAACTAAAAGGAGAATATAAGGAGGGGCATTCTTTCAAGTCACACAGACAAGAATGAATTTTTTAATGGGGAAAAATGACAAAAATAAGTCAGAGTTTCACACAAATGCAGTGACTACCTTCCTTTACCATGGCCCCTAATAAGGCAGTGTATGGGTTCCCCTTGGCCTGTCCTTGGGAATGCTTCCTAGGGTCAGTTTGAATCACAGGGGATTCTGTATCTACTGACTTACCATTTACATCTGACCCCAAACAGCACTGCCCAGCTACACTGCCCATCACATTTACCTAACATAATCCAAGTCACTTTTAACAAGTTCCCAAACTCAAATCTACACCACAAAAGCAGGAATATGTCCCTTTGGTGGTAGCCTGACCCCATACCTGGCTCTTATCAAACGGCCAGCACTGATAGAGAACATATCCCTGCTTTGGCTTTTTCATGGTCAATATCCCTAACCACGATCCCCCATTGTCTTTCTCATGCTTCTGATTAACGCCTTTCTGATCTCTGGCCTCATCACCCACTTATGGCCTCATCCTCCCTCTGGCCTTGGCATGTAATGCCACTTCCCTAACTTTCACAATTAGTGACTTACTTCTTCCTTGAATTATGCTGCTTTGTGATCCTCTATAAACACACATCCTGATCCATCCTGGCCTGGGCCTACCCACCAGGTCAGGCCCACGCCACCACCAAGCTGTTTGATTTACCTGAGCCCTGCAGATGGGACGGGAACAATCTGATACTCTAAGATAGGCACATCTCCAAATAGGTTTTTAGAATGTTCTGAGCAGACCACTCTAGCTGTCTGAAGGGGACAGTGTCAACTGGATATGAATACATACACATACAGTATCTACCAATAAGTAAGAATACATTTTTATGGTATTTTATCGTTTACATAGCACTTTCACACACATTATCTTATCATCACAAACAAGACAGAATCAGGGTGGGACTGGGTATGGTAACTGGGTAGGGATTATTTATTCTTCTCTTATAGATGAAATGACTGAGCTCAGAGAATAAGTCGTTCTAAGCAGGGCCTTCTAGCACACACCTTAAGGAGGCCCTCCTTCCGGGGTCATTCAGTTGCAGGGTACAGCCCCCAAATGAGTGTCTGTGTTTTGCCCTCTGGATGCCTTGCTGAACTCACACTAGTCCCAGCCCCACTCCTAAGGCCTGCTTCATGGCTAATAAGTAGAAAACCTGAGGCTAGAGCTCAGTGTTACTGTCAAGTTCCTTTCTTTGAGAAAACACCCAACAGCCACAGGGTCTTCCGACTCTGTCTCTGGAGACCTGCTGTCTCAGCCTCTAAAAGTTCACTCCATGAACTAGTCCTATGACATGCCTGAACTCTACTGTTTGGCCTGGAACCCTAGAACACTGATACCTTGAAGAGATGGCTTGAAGGTAGATCCTTTTCTGGTTTTTGAGGTTCCAATTCACGTGGCTCTTTTTCCTTCTCCTTTTTATCTTCATCTTCATCTTCATGTTTAGGGCTTAGATGTGAAGAGATACCAGGGGAAAAGTGAGGTTTAGAGTGTTTAGATCATAGTGTACCACCCAATCCTAAATGAAATGAATGGAAAAAGTGAATGTAAACAACACAAATAATCCCCCACCTCTCCCCACCGTCTTCTAAGATGAGGATCAGGTCACCCATTAGATCATTTCACTGAGTTTCTACCTACTCCAAGCAATGCCAGAACGAATCCCTGCTTAAAATCTCCTAGGAACTCCCCATTGCCTGTAGGATAAAATCTAAGCCTATCGTGATCTGGCCGAAACCTTTCTTTCCAACACCATCTACTTCTGCTCCTTCCCTCCACTTTTGCTGTAGACTCTCACGTTCCCCAAACCAACCATCCTACTTTGAGCAACTCTCCATTTTTAGTTGCGATTTCCCTTGACAGACATGCCTTCCACATCTTGCTAGAAAACACCACACCCTTCTCAATTTGTCTGAATCATCTTACTTCTGAGAATCCTTCCTTGATTCTCCCAGTCATACCTTCTTATCCATTGCCCCAATACTTTGTCCTTCTATCTTGTATTCTAACGCACTGTCTATGGATCTGCCTCCAGTTCCTCCACTTTGCCTTGTAAATGAACAATCAAGTTATAAGGAGGCAGAGCTCTGCTATTTCTCTACATATCCCCAGCACTAATGCTGTGTAATCTAGAGAAGCAATAGCATGGGGCCTGGCACAGGGCGGTAAGGTACTTAGCCAGTCTTCCCTAAGGAAATGAAGGACTGCCGTGTACCACAGTATACAGATGGCAGCTGCACTGGAGGGAGTATGAGAGAGAAGGGCAAGGTGGACAGTGTCATGAAAAACCTGAGAACCAAGGACAGAATGCTGGGGAACCATCAACCCCCAAATGAGGACTTCTGTTCTGGCACAGTGAACTAGATTTACAACCACATTCATACAGAAGGCAGAAAAAGAAGAGCCCTCAAAGAAACTCAGAAGAGGGGGTCATCAAGGGAGGAAAGCACCAGAGACAGTACTGTTCTGAAAGACAATGGAAAGAGTTGTCAGGAGTTTCATTCATTCATCTAATTACTGAGCACCGTGCCCCCCATTAAGGCCATCTGCTAGTTCTGTGATGATCAGGGGCAGTGAGGGAGGGCTGGCTTCTAATCCCCACTATATATCCCTCTTTCTGCTAGTCTACGATTAACCTTTCTAAAAAAAATCAAATTTTCTCATTTATAAATGAAAGGTCACAATGCCAGTCTCCATGGTTGCCATGAGAATGAAATGTGAGAAAAATGTTGAAAGCCTAGCATTGTTCAGAGCATATAAAGGACCTGCAGTAATTGGGATCCTTGTCTTCATGGAAGCATTTGCTGTGTTACAATTACCCAATTCTTATTTCTCATTGCACATTGTTGATATTTCGCCTAAAACATAGCTGCCTTGTTGATGTACATGCCCTTGGTAATCCATCTTGCCCCTCAGGTCTTGTCCGGTAGTTTCTGTATAGCTGGATCTCCATAAACAATTATCAAATTAAACTCAATATGGTGACTTCTAGGAATACTATGAGGGGTTGGGGTATGTTATCTCTGCTTTGAAATTCTTTTGTGGCTCCGCCCTGACGTAGAATATAAAGTATAAATCTGTGCTGCCCAATTGTGGCCACTGTCCATGTGTGGCTATTGTGCATTTGAAATATATCTGGTCCAAATTGAGCTGTAAGTGTAAAACATATTTGGATCTTGAAGACTTATTATGAAAAAAAAGACTATAAAATACACCAGTAACAGTTATTATATGGATTACATGTCAAAATGATAATATTTTGGATATACTGAGATTAATAAAATACATTATAATTAATTTTACCTGTTTCTTTTTACTTTTTAACATTTGGCTACTAGAAAAATTTTATTTTATTTTTTTTTTAAAGATTTTATTATTCATTTGAAAGAGCAAGAATGAGAGAGAGAGAGCACACATGAGAGGGGGGAGGGTCAGATGGAGAAGCAGACTCCCCGCTGAGCAGGGAGCGCGATGTGGGACTCGATCCCGGGACTCCAGGATCATGACCTGAGCCGAAGGCAGTCGCTTAACCAACTGAGCCACCCAGGCGCCCTGGCTACTAGAAAAATTTTAAATGACATCTATGGTTTGCCTTATAGTTCCATTGGACAGGGCTGGTCTAAATGGTAAATTAGGCCTGGAACATACATTCTGACATTTTCACCTGGCCAATTCCTACCGGTCTTTCAAGATTGAACTCACCTGTCAGCTCTTCAAGAAAGTATGCCCAGAGTCTCATCTCTGTGTTCCTATAACTACTTAGCAGTGATTATATTATATTGTAACTTCCTACTGAGACGGTCATTTCCCCCTCCAAATAACCCCTTACCCCCAGCCATTCTGGCCTCCATGCCCATCTTGAACCAAGGGAAGAGAATATGTTCTATTTATTTCTGTATCTCAGAATCTAGCAGCATCTGAACAGAGTAAAAGCTCAATAAACAATGAAATCATGAGACATGGGCCTCCCAAGTATCAAGCACCATGCTAGATGCCAGAGGGTAATTATGGGGGGGCATGAATCGAGGCAGGCCAGAACTCAAGGAGAGAGATGAAACAGGCTTTCCCCATGACCCAGTGCTTGTGTGTTTAGCCTCAGCCAGGGAATTTTGATACTTGCTTCTCCAGACCTCACCAACCATGTTTACTCTAATGCATTAAAAGTAACTCTGGGGGAAACAGTATGGAGGTTCCTCAAACAGTTGAAAATAGAGCTAACATAATGATCCAGCCATTGCACTACTGGGTATTTACCACAAAGATACAAATGTAGGGATCCGAAGGGGTACGCGCACCCCAATGTTTATAGCAGCAATGTCCACAATAGCCAAACTGTGGAAAGAGCCAAGATGTCCATCAACAGATGAATGGATAAAGAAGAAGTGGTATATATACACAATGGAATATTATGCAGCCATCAAAAGGAATGAGATCTTGCCATTTGCAACGACGTGGATAGAACTGGAGGGTGTTATGCTGAGTGAAATAAGTCAATCAGAGAAAGACATGTATCATATGACCTCACTGATATGAGGAATTTTTAACCTCAGGAAATAAATTGAGGGTTGCTGGAGTGGTGGGGGGTGGGAAGGATGGGGTGGCTGGGTGACAGACATTGAGTAGGGTATGTGCTATGGTGAGCGCTGTGAATTGTGCAAGAATGTTGAATCACAGATCTGTACCTCTGAAACAGAGGTGGATAGAGCTGGAGGGTGTTATGCTGAGTGAAATAAGTCAATCAGAGAAAGACATGTATCATATGACCTCACTGATATGAGGAATTCTTAATCTCAGGAAACAAACTGAGGGTTGCTGGATTGGTGGGGGGTGGGAGGGATGGAGTGGCTGGGTGACAGACATTGGGTAGGGTATGTGCTATGGTGAGCGCTGTGAATTGTGCAAGACTTTTGAATCACAGATCTGTACTTCTGAAACAAATAATGCAACATATGTTAAGAAAAAAGAAAAAGAAGAAGATAGCAGGAGGGGAAGAATGAAGGGGAGCAAGTCGGAGGGGGAGACGAACCATGAGAGACGATGGACTCTGAAAAAAGGGGGGTTGCGGGGGGCGGGGGGGGGGGGGATGGGTTAGCCTGGTGATGGGTATTAAAGAGGGCACGTTCTGCGTGGAGCGCTGGGTGTTATGCACAAACAATGAATCATGGAACACTACATCAAAAACTAATGATGCAATGTATGGTGATTAACATAACAATAAAAAATTTAAAAAAAAGTAACTCTGGGGGAAGAATGATAGACATAGACTCTGAAGAGGTGGGTCAGAGCACAGCCTTGCCAAGGTCCTGCTTTGGACCCAGAAGTATAAGCGGTATCAGGAACACCAAGAACAAGAAAACACAGGCCCTTCTCACAAGGAGCTCACACACAAGGAGGGGTGAAGAGAAGGAGAGTGAGGACGAACTGGCAGGTTAGCAAACCGGTGACACACAGTGATGTTAGTGCAAACTCATGAACCTGACAGGGAGGAGCCTGGCTACTTCTCTCCAAGGAGGGGGCTTAGGAAGGCTTCTTATAGGTGGGAATGTTTGAAGGTCAGTAGAGGCTTACCAGATCGTTAAGTTGGGGTGAATTAATGAATTAAGGCAGCAAAGGCACAGAGATTTGAAACAGCATGGTGCATTTTGGAAACTAAGTTCTTTGGCAGTCACATGACGGTTATATGCCCAGTTGACTGTGTGATTCCCACAGTCCAGGAGCCCCTGAGGGTAGTGGCCAGGTCGCCATCACTGCTACCGCCCCAGTGGTTAGCAAGTGGCTGGCCCATGCTGGAGACTCAGTAAGTGTTTACTGATGAGTGTGGTGTGGGCTGGAACAAGGCAGGAGGGAAAGGCCGGGCAGGACCCCTGAGTACCTTCTCTGCACCAGGCACCTTATGAGGTGCTGGGGAAGCTGAACCGGGTCAGTCTCTGCAAGCATAGCTGACCCATTGAGGTAAACTAGTTCATTCATCAGAGGGCCAGTGGTTGGATTAATTCTTTTCAATTTGAAGATAAAACTCACCGAAGTTCTTGATGGAGACCATTCTTCCAAGGCTGAAAGTAAAGAGGGAAATGGTCATTTTCATAAACCAATCCAAACCATGCCTTTGTTGTGTGATTACAGATCTTTAGAGACTTGACCAAAAGACCAGGCAGGTGAGGTCTCAGCACGGAGCAAAGGTGGACACTGACAACAGAAACTTCCAGGAATCCTGGCCGGTGGAAATGAAGGTCAGTGGGAAAGGAAGAGAAGTATTCCCCGTGTGACAGTGCATGCCAGAGGGAATGTACTATCTGACTTAGAATAATAAATTGTCCTCTGCATGCTTTTCCAGGATGTGCCTGTAGAATAAAGCTTTCCCATCATTTGGGGAAATACGCACTTGTGATATCGGAGCAATGTTACAGTAGGCAGAAGTGGTGACACAAGTGAGTGAGTCATGCTGGGAACTCTCCCTGGCTGGCTGTGCACCCTCTGATCCAAAATTCGCTCATATAATCTAGATTTGGCTCCATTAAGATTATGTCCCAGTGACCACAATGTAGCTCATTTATTCAGTTGTCACCGAGATCTGATCCGTTCATTATTTTGAATCTAGACAAGAATGCTGAAGAAAACAGAAAATAGCTAAGCCTTGAAAATGCTGCTCCCAAGACCAGCCTAAAAGCTCATTTGCCCTCCTATGAGGAAAGCCCCGCAGGCCTTCATTCAGGGATGACCGGTTTTTATTTTCCATATAATTCTAACAATGTAGATGGTAGACTGACAAGTCAGATGGACCTCAGCTACATTATTTACAGGAGGCTGAGCCTCTCTGAGCCCCCAGTTCTCCCCTGTAAAATGCAAGCAGTGAAACTAGCTCACCGGGGAGCACAGAGGATGAAGCGCTCCCATGTTTGCACAAATGCCTGACACACAACAAGGACTTGGTACAGGCTTTTCCACGTGACAGACTCCCTGCTAGACGCAAAGATATTGACAGAGAAAGCAAAACTGTCAGAGAACAGAAAACAATGACAGCAAACAGACTTGGGGTTTTGTGGGAAGACAACTAGCTCTGAACACCTAACAAGGGACTAAAATCATCATCATCATTTTTTTTAAAGATTTAGCACAGGCAGGGGGAGAGGCAGAGGCAGAGGGAGAAGCAGGCTCCCTGCTGAGCAGAGAGCCCGATGCGGGGCTCAATCCCAGGACCCTGGGATCATGACCTGACCTAAGGCAGATGCTTAACTGACTGAGCCACCCAGGTGTCCCAAGGCACTAAGAGCATCTTATAAAGAAGAGTGTGAACTGTAGCCATTCAATCCCTTATGTTCCAGAGGATTCCATGTTATGAAGACAGGGTGAGATCAGATTCCACCCACCAAAACAAGAATACTGAGATGAACACAATACATGTCTGAAAGTTAAGATTTAAAAGTTAAAAATACGGAGCGCCTGGATGATGTAGTCAGCTAAGCATCCGACTCTTTATTTTGGCTCAGGTTGTGATTTCAGGGTTGTGGGATCCAGTCCCGTGTTGGCCTCTGAGCTCAGCACAGAGTCTGCTGGAGATTCTCTCTCCCTCTGTCCCTTCCCCCATCATCTCTCTCTCTCAAATTAAATCTTTTTAAAAGAAATTAAAAATAATTTAATGCTTTTTATCTTTTGAATGAGATAAACTCTAGTTATTTACAGAGTTCACTTGTGCAGAAAAGTTTATTATTTTAGAGATATTGCTGGATAATTGAAGCATTTTAATAGAATGTTTCTATTCTTTTTAATAAGAATAATCATGTGTAGTTTTCTAGCTAGAAAGTGTACCTAGGACAGTCCTTTCTAGTAGGTGTAAGAAAACAAGCAGAAAGATGAAAGAACTTGACTAAATGAACCCCGTGAGAAAAGAGTGAACCTTCATTGGTGCAGTTACAACACGAAGCAAGCACCCACTGTGTGCCAAGCGCTGTACTGGGAGCTTAGCTACTTTTGAGTTCTCTCAGCAATTCAGTGAAACAAGTATCAACCCCCTTATTCATTGAGTGTCTACTATGGCAGATGTGGTCACCACAGGGCATCGGCTTCCTGCTCTCACGGAGAATACACCATTTTCCAGAAGACACAGCTGGAGCCCAGAGAGGTAAAATGCCTGGGAGAGATGCAGGCATTTACTATCAAATGGTTTCTCTGAATTTACCTTATTCTCGTTCCCACAATGACCCCAGATGTGGGTACTTCTATTACCTCTATTTTACAGGTGAGGAAATGGAGGTTCTAGATCACACGGGCAGGTGCTGGGACTGAGGCCAGCAGGGACTCTGCTTGGGCCCTAACCAAGTTGCTTCAAGGTGGCACCTTGCACCATGCCCACCAGGAGCCAGAAAATGCACCTTCAAAGAGCTGGTCATCCTCCCGAAAGCGCAAGAGATACAAATTTGGCTTGTGCCACAGCACTCCTCTCTCTGAAGGGACCGTTATTAAAGGCCAGTTGATGCTGGCCACCATAGATAACAGGCCGGGAATGGATGAGGGCCAGCTTCCCCCTCCTCCCCACAACATCTTTTCTATCTCTGTTATTACAGGAGACAGAATCTTAGCAGCTGGAGTCTTGGAAAAGCCTCAGGAATCGGGAGAAAATGGAAAACAAAGACCTTTCTCCTTGCTCATAAAAGAAATCCCTTTACAGTCAATTCTGTATACCTGTTATAGTTATAAAGTTGGTAAAAAGAGGAAACAATACCTTTCGGGGTTCTTCAATTTCGACTTCGTAAGTTGCTAAAATAAATATGAAAAAAATGATATCAGAGGCAGTTTATTCACTGTTTCTTACAGCACCCAGGATTCAAGCAATTATGAGGGATGGCAGAGTTCAGTTTTCTCAGCCTCCAGAACATGGATCTGTGTGAGGTTTTGTCCGGGTGGTCTGGGGAATTCTCGGGTCACTGACCATGGCTTTAATCTCTGTGGGGATTTCCAGGATGGAATGTATGGTCAGTGAAAACACGTGAAACAATTTTCAGTTTCCTGTTTCTGTAAATAGATATATACTCCATACTTAAGAGACAGCACTGAAATTTAGTGGTTGCAATCGGAAGGGGAACGTGAAAGGGAAGGGAAAGGAAAAAAGCCCCCCTCCAAAAAAAAAAAGTCTAGATCCCACTTCAACAAAATGAAGTCCATAGCACGCTTGTAAGTGTTTTATTCCTTGACTGTTGTTTCCCCAGCACAGCTTGAAAAGAGGAGACTGGCCACCAACTGAGGTTTGAATTCCTTTTGATTTTTTTCTGATCGTTCTGTGGATTTTATTGAACGATGTGATGCCAACCTTAATTATCAACAAACACAAGTAGTGGCAAGAATGTGGGTTCAGAGCCCAGTCCTGCCATTTCCTACCTGTGGGATTGCAGACAAATTACTTCATTTCCTTGAGTCTCAGTTTGTTCACTTGAGAAATGCAGTCAATTAGTACCCGCCTTACACAGTTAATGGGGAGATTAAAGGAGATGATGTACAAAATGGGACATACCTAGCAGAGCACCAGATATTGTACAGAAAGTGATGGGTTTTTGATAAAATTGATTATTTGATTTTTCTTTGCTGAAATATCATCTCTAAAAGTTTCCCCCTACTGTTAATGAATATCCATGCATAATAAGTAGGACTCTCCCTGTTTTTCTTCTCTTTCTTGCTGCTAGGGTCCTGAAGCTTTAGTTTAGAAAAGTGACCAAAAAACATGTTGCATTTTTTTTTTTTTAAAGTAGGCTCCATGCCCAGTAAGGAGCGCAGTGTGGGGCTTCAACTCATGACCCTGAGATCAAGACCTGAGCTGAGACCAAGAGTTGGATGTTTAACCGACTGAGCCACCCGGCGCCCCTCATGTTGCATTTCAAGGTCATTATTATTCTATACATACAATCCATTGATAAAACAAATGAAATTCTAGGTTTTCTTTAGGGACTGCCTGCACGTGATTGTTTGACACATAGACCTAAAATTCTTAGTAGATGATTAATACTATGCACTTCAACTGGAGTCATTGTACACTTTTATTTTTACTGATTTTTGAATCAAAATGTATTATTTTGCCATTGCTTACTTTAAAGTATTTGTTTAGCTATTAATACATAATAAATATTTGCTTATGATGCATAAGCATATTTGCTCCATATCCATTCCAAATATGGATTTCTTTTCCAATTTTAAAAATAATAAGTCCCCTCCCCGAACTGATATATCATTCTTTGTTTTTCAAAGAAATAACAAATCATGATGTTTCTGCTTCTCACTGCCACCTGGGGAGAGGGGAGATATTATTATTCTGTCTTAGAAATGGGGAAACCAAGCCTCAGAGGAAGCTTATTTGTCAAAGCCGCTACACAAAAATACACACTGAATAATGCATTCATAATTTGATTATGATTTTTTTAACAAACTAGAGGTTCTCCAGAGATAAGTTTTGCCATCACAACTTGCTCCCAAGGAAGAACTATAAAGGACGAAGGACTGTACCCCAGGGGGTCAGGAAGGGACAAGGAATCATAACAGGAGGATGCAACCCACAGCCCTGGAGCGCATTCTCCCCACTGACGAGCTTTATTCCAGCTGGCGGAAAGGACACACATCACAAGATGGTCCTCAGTTCCCTCCAACTGCTGGGACCATAACATGACCACAGCTTCCAGGCTTTTTCTCCATGTACTAACTCCCTGTGCGACCTTGGAAAACCAGGTGAGAGGACTATTACTAATAATATAAAAACAATAATAAAAAGCAGCTAGCATTTTTTACACTTACAAATAGCGGGGACTATGCTACGTGTTTAAATGTATGATTTCACGTAATTCACACAACGATCACTACTGACACCCCCCTTTCACTGAGGAGGAAGCAGAGGCCCAAAGAGTGAAATAACTTGCCCAAGGTCAACTCTGTTAGCAAATGGCTTTCAAACTTCCTCCCAGCTACAGAATCATTCATTTAAGTGGAATATTGCCCACGAGCATACACAGAACTTCTCTGGTTGATGTTATCCTCAAGGTCTCCAGTACCCCTCAGGACAGTCCTAGGGCCTAGGAAGCATAGTCTGAATGGCTGGTCTGGATGACCTCTGAGGACAATTCTGCAGAACTTCTAGAACAGCCTATATCCTGCTTACTCACATTCTATATAAAAGGGCAAAGCCTCAGAAAGGCACCCATGCTGAGCTGTGCACCCCCAAGGGGATGGTCTTTGTTTTCCTGGGATCGTTTAAGGGACAAACTCATACAATGGTGACAGTGAAAGCTAACCAGCTCGTCCTTCTTTTCCCCCATGTCTCTCCCCCTCTCCTCCAGAAAGGTAGCATTTAGATTCCTCACCCTTGGTGAATGAAAGAACGATCCATTTTGAGTTAATCTTTGTAGAAGATGTGAGACTTACATTGAGATTGATTGATTTTTACCTATGGATATCCAATTACTCCAACACCATGAAAGGCTAATGTTTCCTCCATTAAATTCCCTCTTATAATTTTGTAAAAAAAAAAAAATCAGTTGGACAAACTTGTGTAGGTCTCAGTTCTGGGTTCTTGATTCTGTTTCATCATGCTATGTGTCCTTCCTTGCCAATGCCACGTAGTTTTGATTACTACAGATATAATTCTTGAAATTAGGTAGTCTGCTACCTCCCAATTTTTCAGGTTTTTGTTGTTGTTGTTGTTTTTAGCTATTCTAGTTCCTTTGCTGTTCTATATACATTTTAGAATAGTCTTGTCAATATATTAAAAAAGAAAAGATCTTGCTGGGATTTTTTATAGGAATTACATTAATCTATCAACCTGGGGAGAATATTTTTTCTACATGGAATTTTCCAATCCATAAACATTGCTGGGAATGGCCAGCAATCCCTGTACCGACAGATGAAAGATTACTCCAAACTTTGCTGTGAAAGAGAGGAGAAGGCAAGGGGGTCAGAGACGAAGACCCTTTGCTCTTCTTTGCTCCTGCTTTTATTGGTCCTTCAGGATAATCACAAATCCTAATCACTGTTTCTCAAGCACGTGATGTGTGACAAGGGATCTTACTGAAACTAGGAGGATCTGTTTACAGGAAAGATAAGACATGCTAATCCGTGTGTTCTACGAGTTCTGCTAAACATAGCCTAAGGGACAATGCATATGTCTCTTAGATCACAGGGCGGCTGTTTGGGCTAAGAAAGCTTCGGGGAAGGCAACTCCCCGTGGCATTCCAACGGCAGAGGAAGAATGGTCACATGGGCCTCAGCATTCCAAAGGCCTATGCCCTTCTCCAAAACCCTCTCTGTCCTTAGCGGCCTCTGTGTTTCATTTTAGCAAGTCAGGTATTACAGCTGATTCCATGCTCTACATTAACCCCAACAAAACATGGTATATCTCCCCCATTTATGTAGGTTTCCTTTGAATTATTTCATTAGCAATTTGTAGTTTTCAAAATTTAAGTCTTGTAACATTTTGTTAGAGTCAAGTTAATTTCTCTTTCTTTAGCTATTGTGAATGTTATAGTATTTTCTGATTTTAGTGTGTTCATTGCTAGTATATAGAAATAGGATTTTTTAATTCTATTTTGTAGCCTCTGACATTGTTGAACTCATTTATTCTTCTAAGATTTTTTTCTTTTTTTGTAAATTCCCTGGAATTTTCTATCTAGGCAATCCTGTCATCAGCAAATAAGGACAGTTTAATTCTTTGTTTGATTTGTATATCTTTTATTTCCTTTTCTTGACTTGTTACACTGGCTATAACTTCCAGCACTCTGTTGAATAGGAGTGGTAAGAGTGGACATCCTTGCCTTCCTTGTTCCCAGTCTCAGGGGGAAAGTATTCAATGTTTCTCCATTAAGTATCTTATTAGCTATAGGCTTTCTTTTCTTTTTCTTTTTTGCAAACGCTCTTTTTTTCAAGTTGAGAAAGTTGCCCTCTATTCTTATTTTTCTGAAGGTTTTTACCATAAATGGGTCCTGAATTTATCAAATGCGTTTTCTGCATAGACTGATGATTGTGTGATTTTTCTTCTTTAGGCTGTCAATAAAGATTTTATTGATGATTGAGTTTTTTGAGTGATCTTTGAAAATCGAACTAGCTTTGCATCGCTGCAATAAACAGCATTTGGTTATGGTATAATTCTATTTTATGTCTTGCTGAATTCTATTTGCTAATATTTTGCAAAGGATTTTTATGACTATACTCATGAAGGATGTTAATCTGCAGTTTTCTTGCACATGTCTCTGTCTGGTTTGCTATTAGGGTAATACCAGCTTCTTAAAATGAATCAGTAAGTGTTTCCTCCTCTTCCATTTTTCTTGGAAAGATTGTGTAGAATTGGTGTTAATTCATTTTTAAACATTTGGTAGAATTCTCAAGTGAAATCTCCCAGGACTTTGAGATGACCTTTTTGGAAGTTCTATTTTCTGTTAATTTATTTTTAAATTTTAATTCCAGTATAGTTAACATACAGTGTCATAGCTTTTTTCTTTTCTTTTTTTTTTTTGTGAATTTTAAAAATTATGGATTCAATGTCCTTAACAGTTACAGGGCTATTCAAATGATTTATATTGAGTGACTTGAGGTAATTTGCGTTTTTGAGGAATTGTTCCATCTTTAAGTTGTCAAATTTAGATATGTAGAGTTGTTCATAATATCTTCTTATTGTCCTTTTGAAGTCTGCAAAGTTTGTAATGATATCTTTGTTTCATTCTTGATACTGTTTGTATCTTCTTTCTGTTTCTTTGTTAGACTTGCTAGAGGTTTGTCAATTTTATTGA